TGTCATCAGCACCAGAATCAATGAGGATCTGGAGGGGATATGTGTCCTGTAACATACCTGGGATTTGAATACGACGACCAGGGGATGAGAAAATGGAAGAATGGCTCACCAGCGTTCCCCTTATGGCTGATGAGCCCGCTCTTTTGGCATCTCGGGACACCCCGCGATGTAATGGCCCACTTGTCCGCAGTAGTTGCACAACCTCAGACGGAACCTGCGTTGGCGCTCTGCTTCAGTCAACTTCATCCGACCGATCTGCATGGGCTCCTCCTGGTGAGACGTGGGTTGAGATGCTGGCGAGAATGGCAAACGAACACTGGCGGGCTCCGGAGGTGGGCGAGGAACAGCTGGTGACACACAGGAAAGGGGGGAAGGGAAAAAGGCCCTCTGCCTGACTGACCTCTCCCTACATCTCTCCCTCAACACTCTAGACCAGTGGTTCCCAAACTTTTTGTGCCCAAGGCACACCAAAGGACAAGTAAAAATCTCAAGGCACACCTATTGTGCAAAATAGCCCTTATAACACGTGTTATCACTCATATCATGTAAAATATCTGTAAATGTGCATAATTATTTACTAATGCCAAATAAAATGTGACAAAGACAACTATATTACTCATGAAATATTTATTAACGAAATATTTCAGAAATTAATTTGAAACTTTATCAAATTAGGCTTCATCAAAGCAGCAACACACTCAGTTAAATCAGACAGGTCACAAAATAAAGGAGAAATGAAAAATGAGGCAAAGGAAACTCAGCAGAAATTCAGCACAGAGAACTGTCAATGCAAGGAAGCTGCATTGTCCATGGTCCTGAACTACAAATTATAAATGTAACATTTCAGCAATCAGCATTGAAACATGTACTATTGTAAATATTTTGCCGATATATTACACTACTTCGTTACTATCTACATAAAGTAACTCGTTACTTTACTCGCCGAGCACGTACGAACTGCACATGCGTGAGTGGCAATAACTTTCCTTACCAGCAGGCGGCGGTAGTGTGTATTTGTCATTCAAAACAGGCAACAACCGGAAGACAGAGAAGAAGAACAGACTACGTGATATAAACAAACAACAAATAGCGTGTGTTCTTTGCAGGTGTGTGTTGAGGTTTGACGTGGTGTTTACAGCAGTGGATAACAGCTTCTGGCCTGGACACAGTTTGCACCTCACCGTCATATTCCTGTCTATTCTTCGGACGAACTCAAAATAATGGGCATACCTCCACCCTAGTGGCGGCCGGCCCATAGGGGCGCTAGGGGCGCCGCCCCACCTCTTCCCAAATTAAAAAAAAAATATATTAAAAAAAATATTAAATTTTAAAAAAAATATTTTAAAAAAAAATATTTAAAAAAATATATATTTTATATTTTTATTTTTAATGAACAAGGTAAATATCATACAATTGGTATCAGTAAAATGTATAATCTACAATAAAATCTCGTTTAAAATTGTGTTACGATGTCTAAAGTTACTGATAAGTCACATGTTTCCTGCCTGGCCTTGCCCGTGGCATTAGTTTATCATTACCGGGCGGAGCCCCCGAGACAAACAGCAGCAACCAGCACGTTCCAAAAGTCTCAATAGTAAACTGTGCTGCCGAAACATAATTTCAGCCAATCAGCGCCGTCAAATATTTTGGTCACGAGGGCGCTCACGTTGGCGCCCACGTTGCTTACGTGACGTGAGTTGTTTTTTAGACTCGTGAGTGACCAAGGTGACGCAGTATTTAGAATGGTGTGCAGGTGGAGTCGCCGGACCTCGGTCCGCACCCAATTCCGTGCAAGAGCTACTCTCCAATCCTTTCCAAAGGAGAAGTTTGGGAGATAAATTGATACTTAAAGACCTTGGACCGGACCAACCCGATTTGTATATATCACAGCAAGCTCGTGAAAAAGACAAAACGTATCAACGAGGCTATCTGGATGCAAACGATGCAAACAAGTAAATGCTATCTTTTGTTTCCCATGCTTGCTCTTCAAACAGCCGGGGACAGGTACGATCTGTTCAGAAACTAGACAAAAGTTAAACAAGTACAAACCACAGACTGTCTGTGTCATGGAGAATACAGTCGCTGGTTTATTTATGTCTGTATAGGCCGTTGTTGTGAGTGTGGACGGTCGGAGCATATATAACGTTAGCTTAGCCAAGCTCCATTCAGCAAACAAGCATTCTAAAAGGTTTTTCGCCTGCCGTCTGTCTGCAGACTTGTCAAAGCATTAATTCATGGTTTTTACTAACCGGTATCAGTATGTTGTTACGTCGGCATCATTTAGAAACGTGTATTACAATTTAATCACGGTAAAAATATGTTAATTTTGTTGTAGTTGTAGCTCCCGAGCCAGCGCGTCTTGTTTGAATGATGCGAGTAAACACAGCTGGCAGCCGCGGTGAAACTCGAGCGACTAGAGCGATGCGATAGGAGCGTTTAGAGCGAAGCAAATATTCGCATCGCGTCCGGTCTGAACGCAGCATTAAAGCGAGCTCCGCGCTGCACTGGAAACGTGCCATTACATCACTAGAAGTCCTAATTTAAGGGGTCATTTCTCCCCAAAAAAAATGGTTACTCACTATATCAAAAGCCCCACCAAAAATATTTTCCACCAGCCGCCACTGCCTCCACCCCTCGAAAGTTATCGCTGACTCAGCCATGTTTATGCAGCACGGCACGTGGAGATGTGGACGCACACGTCACGCAGATTACGTACATATAAACCTAAAAAGTACTGATATAGTAAATTAAAAAGTAATTATTTTTGTGTAGTTGTATATTGCAATAATAACGTATGGTTGTCACAAAATCCCACGGCACACCCGGACTTGCCTCACGGCACATCAGTGTGCCGCGGCACACCGTTTGGGAACCACTGATCTAGACGAATAGCCAGACTAATTAACTCCTCTAAATCGGAAGTCTCGTCCCTAGCGGCTAATTCGTCCTTGATTTCGTCCGCCAACCCTCTTAAAAACACACTCTGTAAAGCCGCTTGGTCCCAAGTACACTCTGCAGCTAAAATACGGAAATCAAGGGCATATTGGGAAACTGAGTCTCTTCCCTGACGGAGAGAGAGAAGCTGGCTGCCTGCCTCCTTGCCTCCTTACCTCTAACAGGGTGGTCAAAAACCTTATGCAGCTCTCTGAGAAAGCATTATAATCTGAACACAGGTAAGGCTTGTTAGAAGAAACTGCCAGCGACCAAGCGGAGGCTCTCTCAGAAAGAAGGCTCATAACAAAAGCTACTCTAGACTGATCAGAGGCATATGTAACTGGCTGCTGATTGAACACTAACGAGCACTGATGAAGGAATTGGCTGCATGTCCCTGGATTACCTGAATACCTAGCGGGGGTGGGAATATGTGGCTCCCGGAGACATGGACTCAGTGTTGCTGTATGAGCAGACGGTGAAACGGGAGAAGGAGCTGGAGGGACTGGAACAGGATATTGGGTAAGCCGGGTCGCCACGTCTTCCATGCGGCCGCTCAGCTGAATCATAGCTGAAACTTCCACCTGCCAACATTTACTCTGTATTTGGCAGGTGGAAGGACTCCTCAAGATGGCGCCTGTGTCGGCATGCCGCTCCCTCAGCTCTCTGCCTTTAGCTATCCTGTTTTTGTTTTATGTTTGTCAGAATGTCCCTGCTCTGCTTGTCTATGATCGCCAAGCTCTCCTCCACCTAAGACCCTCACTGGAGTTTATACTGCTGCCCAAACCTATATCTGGCAACCGTAAATCGACTCCCCCTCCCTCTACTGTCAGATATTCCCACCAACATGTGTTACCGAACAAATTGTGGCCCGAACAACTGGTGAGATTCTATTATTTTCGACAGATGTATTGGGGCGTGTACCTTGAGGACCCATTGTTGACTCACCGGGAAAGAAACATCTCGATCGCTTCGCGTGTTCAAATTCATCTTTTGGTATATCTGACTGAATAGGACAACTTTGATGCACGTTCAGTACGCGTAGGTTGTGGGTGAGAAGCTGATATCGTGAAGCTTACAGTGACGACTAGAACATGACAAAGTAGGTGACTGTGGGGATGCCTGTGCAAAACATGGCGAACTTTAATAAATCATTTTAACAATATATATTTGTCAGAGTTTCAGTTGTACATCGTTCTGAATGTGATGTATAGTAGCTTTGATAGCTGTCCATACCTTCAGACCGCCTCTATGTGAAACACAAGTTGTTTACTGACAGCCCGAAAGTAGCCTGGAGATGGCAAGCTGTGATCCGCTCCGAATAAATGGTGATACAACTTCTCCAGCCATTCTCAAGCGATCAATGTTTTTATTAAATACCTGTATCCCTCTCATCACAACACAACCACACAACTCTACACTGTGCATCAGATATGTGTCTTTATTACAATTGAATGTAAATTGTCAATTTGAAAATATAGCAACATAAAACGAACAGGCTACTGTTTGTGAAACAGTAGCCTACCATCGAAGATGTTTGCAGACTTGACATGTTATTGCTGTGAAAATAACAAATTGAATCCATAGAATACAGTTGTTCCATCATGACTTCTAGCCTATACGTGTAAGCAATTATGTCTACCTTCCCACTCTTGCAACATTAAGACCCAATGATATCAAATGCTTAACTGCATAGGTTGCAACATTCACTTTTTGGTTCCCAAATGTCAGTTTAGTTTACATAAATGCACTTTTTGTTTTAACCTACATTACTGTTGTAGAAGGAAAAACAACAGTGAAAGTTATATTTCAGAAACAACTTTATTGGAAACGTTTTTTCAACATTCAAACATTTATTGTCATTACATGACATTGCATTTAGCTGACGCTTTTATCCAAAGCGACTTACAATAAGTGCATTCGACCAAGAAGATACAAAGTGAAGAAAACAGAATAATAAAGTACATCAGGTTTCATAGAGCCAAAACATTTCAAGTGCTACTCAACTGGCTTTAGGTAAGCCAGTCCTTTATTAGTATAAGTGCTTTGTTAGTAATTCTATTGCTCGAAGTGGAGTCGAAAGAGATTTCTGCGGTCCTGATTTCAATGGGGAGCACATTCCACCATTTGTCATGTCAGTATGTTAGATTCCATTCCAAATGATATAACAGTGGGTGTACAGGTGTGTATGTACACACAAATCTATGTACATTTCTTTAAATATATATATAAGTTGCCTTTGAAAAACGTAATACTTTAGCTTTAAGTGTGCAATGACAACAGCCTGGACCACATGTGAACATACTGTAAACAAGGAATGTGTGTGTGTGTGTGTTTGTGTGTTTATAAAGTGCAGCTTTTGCAGTAATAGTCCAGTGAGATAGAGGGCTGCCCAACACATGTTGTGTGGTACCATTTGGTACAGCCGGTGCACTCAATCTGAAAAGAAACAGAAATAATACATGTTAGAACATGGCCAAACATTTTTTAGATTAACATCACTCATCCAGAGTACGCTTTACAATCACTCTGTTAACATTTAACTAAATAAGCAATGTATAGGTTGGGATCTTATCTGTGGTTCTTTCTGTGTAGAGTCCGTGCTCAGAGGTTCCTTCCACTGCACCAGTGTTCTCCCATAGTGCAAAGACATGCAAGTTTGGTGAATTAAAGTAAAAATGTTCAATATCTGTTATAGTGTTCACCCGGTGATGTTGAGGTAACCTATCCAGGGTGTATCCCAGTCTTCCAGCCAAATGGTGGTCAGGAAATTAATACAACGTCTTACCCATTGGTCAACCTTGGTGAACCCTGAACTAAGTTCCCCACAGGCCCGACACAGCTGGGATAGGTCATCTGTAAAAAAACAAATACCGGCATAAATGTAGTGAAATGGAAAAAATACAGGATATTTCGGTTTCTCTGGTTTAGTCCTGTATACCGGAATTTTTCACCAGGGACATTGCCATGTCGAACCTCATTGAGGCCACACCCGCCTGGTCAACAGGGTACTGGACCTTCTGGTCCAATAGTATTTGCTCTGCAAGCTAACAAAGTCTGAGATAAGTATCTTCATATTATGGTTTGATGACAGATGGTTATATATACACACATTCATAAATGTTACCTTGCAAATCAACACACCGCATGATGTTGTGTCCTGCTGTTTGGGATGATCCATGCTGTCGCATGCCCATCTCCCAACAGCTGGGTTTGTCTTGCAGACCAGCGATCTACACAGGGAACACATACATTATGTTTTGGACATACAATCCTTTTTACGTCAAGAACAGCTGAATGTTCACACAGGACAATCTTATGTTATTGAAGTAAAACAGCAGTAATCCGGAACATCATTGATGTGGCTTTGTGTTGCTCCCTTAATATAATCCCACATCCTGAATGCATGAATATATCTAGTAAAGACATTACAGCTGATACTTGATTTACCGTGTTAGGTCTTTGCAGCGGCTTATCTGTTCTTTGGTGGCCCCAAATGGGTCCAAGAAAAGGCACCTGTTTTCCCTTAGATACATGATCTGTGGAAGTGCAACAAATTCAAACAAATTGTCAAGTGTTAAATAAACAAGTGTTGAATAAAAAGAAATATCTTGACTCATTAACATTTTAGATTACTTACAATGAGGGTCCAGTGTGCCTTGTGACAGACGGCTCCAGCTGCCACATTGTGTTTTGTCAGGTCCAACTGAAAAATATTTGTACATACTTAAGTACATACATACACTTATTTCTAGTCCTACTCTACTCACCTTTCTTAAACCGCCTTTGTGTTTTCCCTGCCAGAGGGAAGTGATGAGGTAGGAGTCGAAAATGAAAGCCCCAGCTTTTACACCCACCCATGATAAATAGGCATTGATAATCTATAAATACAACAGATGTTTTTATCCCATTTGATAAAGAATTATCACTTTGCATATGTACTTTTTTCTTATAAAGTAGGCTTACCTCTCCCTCCAACTGCTGTCCTGGGGCCAAGACCATGAGGTTCTCGCTGTAAACTTTGTATGGGCCATACTTGGCCCATAGCGTCTCCTTCCTCCTCCCTGCCCATATGTCTCGGATTACTGTAAAAAAAAAAAAGAGAACGCATGTTAGTTATTAAGGAAATGCATACTTTGAGGTGTACTTTGTGTCAGTTTACTTACAAGTCTCCACCTCAGAAGATGCTCCTTCTGCCTGACTTGATGGAGCCAGGGTTTGGGAGGGTGTGGAGGGTGTGGTGGAGGTGGATGTGGAGGTGGATGTGGAGGTGGAGGTCAGTGGATCAGCCAGAGGAGAAGGATCCAACAATTTTTTCAATTTAGCAGGGATCCTCTCCTCTGGCTGGACATAGTGTGCGAGGTGGTCAATGTTGACTTTCATCTTATTGTTTCCCTTTTCTGAAACTATTTCAGCAACTTTCCTCTCAATGTCCACAACCCGGTAAGGTCCCTGCATTTCCACCTCTAGTTTCCCACCTTTTCTTTGCTCCAACCTTTTGTTTCTTTTTAAAACCAAGTCCCCCACTTGGAAGTTGTCCGCTTGCCCTTTCTCCAGTTTCCTCTTGCGGACCCTCTCTTGGCTTTTTTAAATGTTTTTCTTTACAAGCGTGAAAACGGCCTCCTGTTTTTGAAGTCCCTTCCAGACATCTTCCCTTTCCACCATCCTTTTCACTTTGTCTTCTGTTATCTGCCACAGAAAACAGTTAGAATGTAGAGGACATACATGTTTGAAATAAAAATAATGCTACAGGATAAGCGATTAACCGGATCTTACTTTGTACTCCTTGGGCACCTCTGATGGGTACCTCGCCTCCCTCCCAAACATCAGAAAATAGGGACTGAACTTTGTAGTCAGCTGAGTTTTGGTTCTCAGACTGAACATGGTGGGCTGCAGGAATTGGTCCCAACGCTTGGGCTCACCCGCCACCAGTTTGTTCAGGGACCTAAATTCAGGTAAAGTATAGACACAATCAGGTAGAAGACAACATTGTTTCAAATATATGATAAAGCAACCCATTTATTTACTCTTATTGTTTTATTTAGGTATAATTTGTGATTACTGTTAATGTAGGAAAAATAATGTTATGTATATTAATTAACATACCTCTGTATTGTTCCATTTAATTTTTCCACGAGCCCATTTGTCTGTGGATGATACGGGGAACACAGGCTTCTTTCAATTCCCAGCCTCTCACAAAGGTTATAGTTCACCTTGAAGGAAACATTGGGACAAAAATGAAACAATGAAATGCATCTCCTGCTGAAAATGCCTGTGAATGCTGTAAACTGCGAGAATGTGTTGGTGAATTTTGATGAATTTTGCATTCACACTAAAAAGTTAGCACAGAAATGTTATATAATAGGGAGTGATAATGCTTCAACGGTATACCTTATGACAGAATTCCCCGCCTTGATCTGTTAGCAGTCTTTGAGGTGCACCAAATTTGTAAAATAAATCAAGAATACACTTGGTCACCTCATCCGCTGTTTTGCTTTTAAGTGGGTATGCCTCTGCCCATTTGGTGAAATAATCAACCATGACACAAATGTATTGATTGCCACCATCTGTTAGTGTGAGTTTACCCACTAGGTCCATCCCAACAAGCTCTGTTACCTGAGAAGAAGAAAACATTTGCATTTCAGTAAACCACAGTTCACATGTTCCAAAGCTGAAACTGGCTGGAATTGTTTCCTTGTACCTCAATGGGAGTGTACTCCCTCTTTTCTCTGATGCTTGCCCTCTTTGATTGGCACTGGGGACACTCAGAAATCTGGAAAAGAAAAAAAAACACACCATAAACTTTTTTGTACTCCACTTTTGTACCATAATGTGTAATTTACCTCATTATTTTATAACTCACCCACTTGCGGATGTCATCCACCATACCAGGCCAATAAAATATTTTCATGATGGCACCATGTGTTTTCTCTACACCAAAATGTCCTCCCAATTGGCTGCAGTGAAACTCTTTAAACAGCTTGTCAGCTTCTTCTGAGGATAGCACCACTTTGGCGAGGTGCTCAGCCATGTCCTTTTTTCTTCTGCATATGTAATGCAGTTCTCCACCTAGTATTGAAATGTCATAATTATATATTCATTGAGAGTATTATCATAGCACACGATATTCTGAAGTCCACACACTCTTACCTTTAATCCTGAAGGTCTCAGCTCTTCTCTTGATCACAAACCTCTGATGGCTTGATAAGCCTTCAGGAAAAACGTTCTGGAGTTTTACATCCATCAGCTCTTTCACAAGTCTTGGGTCCATTTTTGTTGGATCCACTCACTCCTATGTAACCCTAGTACTACCTCTCCCTCAAACACACAAACAGGCAAACAACAATCACTCACTTAATTAAACACACAATACAATTTCACTCACAAGGACCAACACTCTATCACATTCAGTACTCACTCACGCACGTTCTGATATTTTTCTATCTAATTTCTAACTAACTGTTTTCTCTCGCTGTCTCTAATCTCTCGCTGTCTCTAATCTCTCTGTCTCTAACCTCTCTCTACTCACAAACCCACAAAGACAAGTCCAGTGGTTTATATAGCCTAGACAATCCAGGTCATTATAATGTAGCTCTACACCTGTTGTACTTGTAGAGTGTAAGCCATGGTAGGGAAACAGGTTTGATCGAGATCCTAGATGGCCAATTACATTGATTGCAGATTGCTTTCTGCTTTCTGCTCACATGTAAGAAGTGAAACATGTCAGTGCACACACACAGAATTCAGGGTTTTATATGTTGTTAGTGTAAGCCAAAAATAAATATGTATATATTAATAAGTATGGGTATATATATATATATATATATATATATATATATATATATATATATATATATATGCCTACGGTACAATAGTTATTGTATATGTATATATATATATATATATATACAATAACTATTGTACCGTATATTCATTCTGGATTTAGGCTACTTTTCTGTGGTTTACCGGATTAGCCATGGAATATTGTTTTAACATATAACAATACATGAAATAACACATGTTATTTCATGTAAGTTATTTTTTTCTGCACAGTGTAGAGTTGTGTTGTGATGAGAGGGATACAGGTATTTAATAAAAACATTGATCGCTTGAGAATGGCTGGAGAAGTTGTATCACCATTTATTCGGAGCGGATCACAGCTTGCCATCTCCAGGCTGCTTTCGGGCTGTCAGTAAACAACTTGTGTTTCACATAGAGGCGGTCTGAAGGTATGGACAGCTATCAAAGCTACTATACATCACATTCAGAACGATGTACAACTGAAACTCTGACAAAAATATATTGTTAAAATGATTTATTAAAGTTCGCCATGTTTTGCACAGGCATCCCCACAGTCACCTACTTTGTCATGTTCTAGTCGTCACTGTCAGCTTCACGATATCAGCTTCTCACCCACAACCTCACATACGCGTACTGAACGTGCATCAAAGTCGTCCTATTCAGTCAGATATACCAAAAGATGAATTTGAACAACACGCGAAGCGATCGAGATGTTTCTTTCCCGGTGAGTCAACAATGGGTCCTCAAGGTACACGCCCCAATACATCTGTCGAAAATAATAGAATCTCACCAGTTGTTTGGGCCACAATTTGTTCGGTAACAGGGGCATAGCTTCAGTGTTTAGAGCTAATCTCCAATGCCGTTTGCTTCACCCAGTAACTAGCTATGCTAGCTTCGAGTTGCAGCTTTTTTAATTGAACCCAGCCTCGCCTATACTCTGCGCAGTCGTGTATCGTCCGCCAAAGTACAATAATGATTTTATAACTGACTTTCTGTCCGGGATCATGGTGAAATATGATCGTGTTTTGATCTGCGGAGACTTTAATGTCCATGTGTGCTGCGAGTCTAAACCTCTGGAGTGGAGTGCACCAGCTGGGCGTAAAAAAGTAGGGCTTAACTACGTCCGACGTAGTGATTCGAATTTACACCGAGTGCACCAAGCCTGACTAGTCTCGGGCGTAGCTACGCCTGGTCTTAAGATGCGCGTCCACGTGAATACACGCAAAACAGTAATTGTTGCCAAGCAACGCCATTTTACCATTTTACAGACTCAGAGGACCGCAGAGAAGAGGGAATTCCCACACACACAGCGTCAGCGATGACTCAAGGGGAATCCCAAATGGCCACACCCCGAAAGAGAAAGAGGGATTTGTCAGAGCTACAGCGGGAACTGACGGAGAAAGAAATCGTTCGTGTGGAGGTGGAGACCGTCAAATTGAGAGCGGAACACGAAAAAATTGAGCTGGAGAAGGAGAAATTGAGACTCTTCTTAATGCCCTTTCATTGTTAAACATGTAAACAAGACGCCCTGCCATCGTTAATATCCTTCTTGCCTGTTTTACGTTACTATGGATACTAGTCTGTCTTTCTGATTTACGCCTGCTCCATACTAGGCGTAAAAGTTACACCCGGGCGCAACGCATACAGGGCTTAAGTCTAAGTGGTGCACTAGTCATAACTTTAGTTTGGTCTTAACCTTCGGTTCTACGTCGGACGTAGAGTTACGCCCAGCTGGTGCACTCCACTCCTGGTTAGGGATTTTTTTAAACTGCCTCGACTCTTTCGGTCTTATTCAGTCTGTGGCTGGCCCAACACATGATAAAGGACACACCTTAGACTTAGTATTATCGTTTGGATTGTCTATCTCTGTGGATGAAATCTGTGCAGGAACGCGTATCTCAGACCATTTACCGGTTCTGTTTACAACCTCGATCCCTTCTGTAGGAGTCGAATCACGTGCTCCTGCGCGTTGTCTGCGTTCAATTAACCCCTTGACTGCCTCACAGTTTTCAGATGCTTTTAATACTTATCCGATTTGTAAATTAGAGGTGAACTGTGCTTTTAGTGCGGATGATCTTATCTCTTTGTTTGATTCGACATGCACACTAATACTTGATTCCGTTGCTCCTTTTACGCTTATGGCGCATTTCCACTGCAGCGGGTAGCCCCGTTTAAGCGTCCTTAACCGTCCTCAAGCGGCCAGGCCAGTTTTTGGTGGCCTTTCCATATAGCCTAGTACCGGCTAGCGGGTACTTTTTCCCTCTTTTTCCGGCCCCATAAAATCGTGGTTCTATCAGACCAGGGCCAGGGCTGAACTAGTGACGTCAACACTCTCGACTGCTGATTGGTCAGATAGAATCGTCACAAGATCGCTCGCGAGTTCATCCCGTCGCATATATATTTAGAAGCAAGCTTGCAGCATTTTTTATAAACAGCATTTTGTAAACGTATGAGCTACAAAAATGGCTACGTCTAATAAGAAAAGCACACCGTGGTCGACCGAGGAGGTGACGACGTTCCTACATCTCATTGGGGATGATCAAATCCAGCGGGAGCTCGACGGAACAACTCGAAATGTGAACAAAAACAAAGCCGATCGCCCCGCCTACACTGCGTTGCTACCCCAGGTCCTAAACTGTAATGGAAATGCGCCACGGCCTCGGACGGCCAGCGAGGCAGCCCGAGGCCTGAGCGAGGACGCTTAGGGACGCTTAAACGGGGCTACCCCGTTGCAGTGGAAATGCGCCATTAGACGCAACAAAGTTCTTTCAGAGCCGTGGCTCAATGATTGTACTCGCGCTTTTAGATGCGCTTGTAGGCGTGCAGAGAGAAAATGGAAAAAGGATAAACTTCATGTCTCCTTAGAAATTCTTCGTGCTTGCCTTTCCGATTATCAGACGGCAGTCAAAGCAGCCAAAACAGAGTATATTTCTCTGTTAATCTCCAAAAACAGCCATAAACCTCAAGTTCTTTTTAATGTCCTCAATTCGATCATTAATCCTTGTGATGCTTCTCCAATTGTGCCATCAACTACTCTCTGCGATACATTTCTTACATTTTTTATCGAAAAAGTATCTGTTCTTAGGCTAGCCTATACTAGTGCTACCCCAGATCCTGCTCCCTTTCTTTGCCCTGCTGTCCTCGACCATTTTGAGCCTGTATCCCTCTCTTCTCTCTCGGAAGTATAGTCAAGCACCTGCGGCCGACAAACTGTACCTTAGACAGTATTCCCTCTCGCTTCCTTAGAGATGTTTTTGAATCAGTTGGAGCAAGTGTTTTATTGCTTATAAACACCTCTCTTAGCTCAGGATGTGTCCCAGCTGCCTTCAAACATGCCGTGGTTAAGCCACTACTTAAAAAGAAAAATCTCGATCCCTCCATTCCCGCAAATTTTAGGCCCATCTCACAGCTACCCTTTTTATCTAAAGCACTGGAGCGAGTAGTCTACGCCCAGCTGCAGTCATTTTTAACCACACATGGTATCCATGAAAAATTTCAGTCTGGCTTTAAACCTATGCATAGTACTGAAACAGCCCTTTTAAGAGTTTTTAATGATCTGCTCTTAGCTGCCGATTCAGGCAGCCCAGCTGTTTTGGTGCTGTTAGATTTAACTGCTGCCTTTGACACTGTGGATCATAGTATCCTGTTGTCACGGCTTGAACAGTCCGCAGGCATTACAGGCTCTGCCCTTGCATGTTTCAGGTCTTATTTGACGGACCGTAGCTTCTCAGTGCAGTTAGGTGCCTTCTCCTCTGCCAAAGCCCCTCTTACCTGTGGGGTTCCCCAAGGCTCGATTCTGGGCCCCATCCTTTTTCTATTGTACATACTGCCCCTAGGTTCAATTCTTACAAAATATAATATCCCCTTCCATTGTTATGCTGATGATGTACAGATCTATCTGCCTCTCAATCAAAATGCCAACTCATTACAGCAGTTGAAGGACTGCTTAACAGAGATTAAATCCTGGCTGAGCCAAAATGTCCTCACCCTTAATGAGAGTAAGACCGAGGTCATCTTTTTTGGACCCCAACCAACAGTCTCCCCGGTTGATATTCTGGGCTCCCTCAATAAAAATATCTTCCCCTCTGTTATGAACCTTGGAGTGACCTTCAACAGCGCCTTTAAATTTGATAAGCAGGTTTTGTAGTCAAGACCTGCTTTTTCAAAATACGACTATTGGCTAAGACCAAGTCGTTTTTATCTTTTAAAGACCTAGAAAGGGTTATTAACGCCTTTGTTACCTCGAGACTGGATTACTGCAACGCTCTGTATGTGGGTATGGACCAGGCCTCAATTAGACGCCTCCAGCTAGTTCAGAATGCAGCTGCACGTCATCTCACTGGCCATAAAAAGCGCGACCATATCACCCCAATTCTGGCTTCATTGCACTGGCTTCCAGTTCGGTTCAGAATAGATTTTAAACTCCTTTTATTTGTTTTTAAAGCCCTAAATGGGCTGGCTCCTGCCTATATAGCCGAAATTCCTCCATCGCTACACCCCAGGCAGAGCCTTAAGGTCGGCTGATCAGCTGTTGTTGATAGTGCCTAAGACCAGGCTTAAAACCCGAGGGTATCGAGCTTTTGCAGCGGCTGGCCCTAGGCTCTGGAATACTTTGCCCCTCCATGTGAGGTCGGCCCAGACCCTGTTTTTTTTTTTAAATCAACACTTAAAACTCACTTTTTCTAGCCGACATCCTCGTGGATTCATCTTCTTATTACAGACACATGCATTTCCTAACATTCGGTCTATATGCTGTAAAATGTATTGTCTCTTCGATTTACACACGGCATCTATTGCACGTCTGTCCGTCCTGGGAGAGGGATCCCTCCTCTGTTGCTCTCCCTGAGGTTTCTCCCATTTTTCCCTTAAACTGTGGATTTTCTCTGGAAGTTTTTCCTTGTACGATGTGAGGGTCTAAGGATAGAGGGTGTCGTTTTTCTCATACTGATATTCTGAACAATCTGTGCTGTTGTATTTGCTGTGTCTCTACTGTAGGCTATTTTTATTATATGTACAGCACTTTGGCTCGACCAAAAATCGTTTATAAATGTGCTATATAAATAAAACTTGATTTGATTTGATACCCGTCGTGAGTTGCTCAAGTTTTTCATTCAAGCTTCTCAGGACGGACTCATGCTGACCCACGAGCGCCCCCTGTGAGGACAGGGCCTGCCTAAAAAATCAGTCTTTGCCGGGTCCATGTTTTATGGCCAGATAATTCTGTTAAGGCTGGGTCAAAAGTTCAGGACCTACAATGGCAGAGACCAGATGGATTCAGTCTTTTAACAAAGTTTAATAAAGGAAAAAAGGAGCAACTAAAAAACAATCCACAAAATGAAGGTGGATATAGTTCACGCTGGTGGCGGTGGCAGGACTCAGGCTGGCTCGAGCAGACACTGGAAAAACAGAGGAAAAAACAAGGTTACTCTTCAACAAAAACAGCAAGAGAAAATCACACTAAGCTAGGATACTACGACGTTCAGCTCTACCGATTGAGACGGAATTATCTGGCACTGGAGTGTGAACATGACCAGGGTTTTATGGAGGAGTTGATTAGATGAGTACAGGTGCTCCTCATTGTGAACCAGCTGCGCCTTCTAACGATCACCACACTGCACAGGAGAGAGAGAGAAGACAGAGGGGAGGAGGAGAAAGCAAAACACCTAAACCATAACAAAGCCAGTCCTTTGTTAGTATATAAGTGCTTTGTTAGTAATTCTATTGCTCGAAGTGGAGTCGAAAGAGATGAGTTTTCAGTCTGCGCCGGAAGATGTGTAAGCTATCTGCTGTCCTGATTTCAATGGGGAGCTCATTCCACCATTTTGGAGCCAGGATAGCAGGATAGCAGGATAGCAGGATAGTGTTACACGGTGATGTCATTATGTTACAGAAGTAAACAAAGGAAAATGCACATATTGTATCTTACGATTTTCTTTAACCATAACTTGAGGGCTACAAGTAGAAATGATGCTTTACAATACATACAAATATAAAATTACTTCATCCCTTATTAAAGGATTTTCCATTCATTCTATATGTTGGACAATTTTGAAACAACATTTATTAAATAAATAGTTATTATTAATGTATAGACAGATTGGACTACACATACAGACTCACCAGTGTTAAATATTTCCCAGAGGGACACAGCACTTTTATTGACATATCCAAGACGTTTCGCAGGAACTCCCAAGCAGAGTCTACATCAGGAAATTAGACAAGATTAATACACTGAACAAAAAATACACTTTTGTTTTTGCTCCCATTTTTCATGAGATGAACTCAAAGATCGAAAACATTTTCTATGTACACAAAATAACCATTTCTCTCAAATATTGTTCACAAATCTGAAAAAATCTGTGATAGTGAGCACTTCTCCTTTGCCGAGATAATCCATCCCACCTCACAGGTGTGGCATATCAAGACGCTGATTAGACAGCATGATTATTGCACAGGTGTGCCTTAGGCTGGCCACAATAAAAGGCCACTCTGAAACGTGCATCTTTGCTTTATTGGGGGGGTCCGAAAACCAGTCAGTATCTGGTGTGAGGGGTAGGTTAGGGTTAGGGTTATGGTAATGTTGTGAATCGAGTGGCCTGTGTTCGTCGTCCATAACATACGCCTGCCCATACCATAACCCCACCACCACCATGGGCCACTCGATTCACAACATTACCCTAACCCTAACCCTACCCCTCACACCAGATACTTACTGGTTTTCGGACCCCCCCAGACCCCCCAATAAAGCAAAACTGCACGTTTCAGAGTGGCCTTTTATTGTGGCCAGCCTAAGGCACACCTGTGCAATAATCATGCTGTCTAATCAGCATCTTGATATGCCACACCTGTGAGGTGGGATGGATTATCTCGGCAAAGGAGAAGTGCTCACTATCACAGATTTTTTCAGAGTTGTGAACAATATTTGAGAGAAATGGTTATTTTGTGTATATAGAAAATGTTTTAGATCTTTGAGTTCATCTCATGAAAAATGGGAGCAAAAACAAAAGTGTATTTTTTGTTCAGTGTATTAATCTTGTCTAATTTCCTGATGTAGACTCTGCTTGGGAGTTCCTGCGAAACGTCTTGGATATGTCAATAAAAGTGCTGTGTCCCTCTGGGAAATATTACGTACCAACCAAACCAATCAGAGTGCAACAGGCCATACACAGCTACTTTGTTTTCAATGTACAAAATGAACCACCCATACAACTGACATCTATTTGTAAAGAAGACTTTTTAAAGTTGAAACACATGAAAGACCATTGGAAAATATGGATTAGTCCTCCAAGAAATCTGATTTGACCCTATTGAGCCCATTTCAACTGTAGTGTTGCAAAGAATACAAATATTAATAATTCATAAAATTATTTATTATCTGTTAAGCTGAGGCTGGCTAGCAGCTGTATTCTGGAGGTCAGAGTTCACCAGTGTTGCAGGGAGTCCAGGTGATGACCCTAACTGCGTTCTGAGCGTTCCTCCGGATGTCCTGGTCCTCCTCTGCAGCCTCGCTCCTCCTCCCCAGCAGGGGGAGCTGCTCCAGAAGGAGGCAGCGGCCCTGCGGAGCTTCAGCCAGCGCGGTCAGGGCCCTCAGGGAGTACATGACCAGAGCCTTCTTCCTCTCCTTGTCCTTCTCCTCCTCTCCGTCCTGGGACACCAGACTGAGGAGGATGGGTATGACGTCCAGGTCCAGACACTGTTGCTTACCTACAATCAGTGATGTAGAGTCAACAAGTACATTTACTCTACAACTCAAGTAAATAGTAACCATATAAAGCAAACGTACTATCTGTGTTCACTGTAAGGCTCTTTGCCCTCCCTATGGTTAGTATGGCCAAAACTATTGAAACAATCGTTAGATGCGTCAAAGAAAGGTTTTTCGAGTTGATGATCCAGATGAAAAATCCACCTGCCGTACCGTTGTGATGAATAGGGAAATGACACGCTGCAATGGCATTACAGTCCTATTAGGAGAAATGCGGTGCAGCTTCAGGAAGGATGCAAATACAAAAAAACACACCCAAAACATGCAAATGAAGAAACATCATCACCAATTTGCCACATTACTCACAACGAAACGCTGTTGGCCAACTGTCACTATTGTTGGTTACCTAAAATGTCAATTTAATGGGCTTATTTTAACAATATGGTCGCATAATTACTTTATTATATATTATTGCAGATCTACTGTAAACTAGCTAGCTAGTCATCTCAAATGAACTGATGAAACAGGTAAGATTATGAAACAGGCTAAATCTGCGTGTGCATCACTTTTAGTGTTCCCGTTTCAGTTGTGTTTGAAGTTCTTGCAGGGTTCTTTATTTGCAGCGTTTTGTGTTTGCAGTGCTTTAAGTAAATGCTGTGCCTGTTTTGTCAAGATGGTGAAGATGTTTCTTCATTTGCATGTGTTTTGTCACATTTGAGTTTTATATTTGCATCGCTTTTTTTGAAATTGCAGCGCGTTTTTCCTCTTATGGAAGTGTTTTGGCCGTTGTAGCAAGTATGCTCCTGTCGGCCACCGTAGAAGTTACTAGAGAGGTCCTAACGTTTTTGTACCTAACTCTAAACACGTCTGTTTCTGCTCCAACATTTTATTATAGTCTACAGGGATGCGGCGAGTTTACATGTAGGCTTATGTCAAAAGGAGCTTTGACATTGCTTGTGTGATTACTCTCACTTTCAGAAGGGGGGGACCAAAGTTCCTCACTCCAGCTTTAGGGTTCAGACAGAGCACAAACTCTCCCGGTTGAATCATGAAAACAACAAAAAATCAACAAATGTGGGGGACAACAGATTAGAAAAGCAGTGGCACAGTGCGGGGAAAACGCAACCATCAAGCTGTTGCAAGGCTTTTGTAAAGCTGTACCGTAGACGACATTATCGGCAAACATAGCAGTTTGTTCTGACTTCATTTGCTCCACTATTTGCCTGAAAGCACTGCTGTCCCACAGAAAACAGCAACGTCAGCCGCAACCTACAGTCTCTGGCTCCTAAATCTGTTTATTCAATAAACCTTTTTTTTTGCAGTTTGAGATCAAACCAAACCATGGAAACAGATTTGTTCCTTCTTTTTTACTCTATAGCAACATAAACTGAGGCTTTATTGGTGTAGTTGCATTTTTTATAGACAGAATAAAACCCCCAAAACAAAGTTGTAATAATTCAAACTTGAGGTCTGAACATGAATCTGATAAAACCTCGAATTAGGAATTTGCTGTGATAAAAAAGCGTCAAGGTGAGAGTTTGTACCTTCGTTGGTGATCGCAGCGTACATGATGACTCCGGCAGCGTTGGCCTGAACCTCTACGTCTTCGTCCCGCAGCAGGTCGACCAGGACAGGAAGCACCTCCTCCTCCTCACACACCTGCCGCATACCGTCCTCACACACACTGAAACCAGGAGAGAACAGGTTGTTATTTTAATATAACTTTGAACGTGTAATTACAATCCGCTGAAAGGTTAGAAAGGATTTCTTTGACCTATGAAGGTCAAAATAAACTGCAGGGTAACATTTAGGTCGAAGTTAAAATGGTGAAAGGAACTTATATGAGCTGAGCTTCAGTTTAAAGGCAGAGTTAACTTTTTTCTTGCATGTGCGTATGTCGCGCTGCCTCACATATCCTGTGTTTTTGATTGTTGGGCACGTACTTCAGAATTGAAGCATAGCAAACGCACTGTTGAAAAGCAAGCTATGTGAGTTTTAAGCATAAGCAAACATGCTCAAAGAAGCTGAAGTGTCGAAAGCTTGAAGTAGAAACACTGAGATGAGTTGTTGATATTTACATCAGATACATGGCAATTTAGGCTTGAAAGGGGCCAAATTCTGCCCATTTTCAGGTTCCTATTTGTATGTAGTGTCTCTACTGTGACATGTCTCCATGCTTTAATGTTCAAGTAGAAGTAGTTCTTTATTTTCCTCATACTGCCTGTGCTGCAGCACCTCTTTTCACCCTCTGTCTGACACCAGAGCCCAGTCTGCTCCGATTGGTTAGCTGGCCGGCTCTGTTGTGATTGGTAAACTGCTAAGAGATGTCCCGCCCCTTAGCCTATCACGTATAATGTGTTGGAGTGTGTGGGAGAGAAACTCCCACTGGAGGAACTTCAGGATTTTATACATTAGCCGCTTTCACACCAAGTACTTTGCCGTACTTAGTGCCCAGAACTTAGTGCCAGCACTTAGTTACCCCCATGGAACTAAGTACAGATCGCGTTCACACCGGAATAAGTCCCTGAGGGAGGATTACGCAAATGAAGCCGCTGACGTCACTTCTTCTTCTTCTGCTTTGGGTTTACTGGCAGGCCGCAAACTTCCACTTCACGGCGTATACTGCCACCCGAAGTCCCCGGCTGGAAGTCCCAGGAATTGGGGACTGGCTTCAGTAGAAGCTGCTGGGACTCCCAGCAGCTTCTACTGAAGCCTTCCGAGTAAATCGCCAGAACGCCGACACCTCCTCATCTCCACCGCTCCCATGTTTTCTTTTGTGTTGCCATAAGTTATTCTCTCTCCGTTGGTGAGCGAGGCTAATGCTAATGCTAATAATGCTAATGCCAGCAAATACAATGGCGGCTTCACAAAACTTTTCAGAGTTTTACGGGGCGTGGTTTGCAATTCGCCCAGCCAATCCAAATTGGTACTTTTTTCTCCCCAGGATAGTACCACCTCTCTAGCAGGCACTAAACATGGGGGTAAAAGTTCTTGGAACTAAGTAGCCTACTATTTTTGGTGTGAACGCAAAATTCCAGGCACTAACGGAACTAAACGGGAAAAGTACGGGTAAAAGTACTCCGGTGTGAAAGCGCCTTTTGCAGAACATTTAGCTGGGAAAGAATGGAAAGCCTAATAAGCATTCTCTAGAATGGAATAAAGTGGAATGGTGAGTTCATGTGCAAGCGTTAAGCTTAGTTTAGGCCAGGGGTGTGGAACCTCCGGCCCCCGGGCCGTATACGGCCCGCGAGACCATTTGGTACGGCCCTCGAGGTAATTTATAAACACACGCAAAAAAGAAAAAAATTAAAGAAATCTAGACCGCAAAAAAATTAAACAAGCGAGTACCTGTTTTTCCTGGCCAAGGTCAGGGTCGTTGAACACAACACGAGCCTAACGTGTCATCACGTGGTATATGTCTCGTCTGACAGGGCTGTAACTCCGGCACTTCAGAAATGGCAGTACCCATAAGGAGCCGTACACATGCTGCAGTTTTTGCGTGGCTGTGTCTTAGTTGTAAGCCCAGTGGCGATCTGTTCATCCGACATACTGATCATACAGTCAATAACTTTGTTGTTATTAGCATCTGGTTAGCTAGCTATGCTAACGAATATAAGAAGCTTTTTCTACAACCAGTGAGGTAAAGGCACATCTTTATATGATCATTATAGTTATAAAAAATAAGAGAATAAAGTAAACAGGTATAAAATACTATATGACAGTACAAACAAAAGTTGTTATTAATAAACAAGAATACAGTTTGAAAGGAGAGTGATTTGTAAAATATCCATAAAGAATAATAAAATCTGTTTACAGTTCTGTTTCATATGTTGAGAGATGTATCCATAGATCTAATGTTGCTCTCAGTGCACCAGATTGATGCTTTTAACTTCAACATTTAAAGCATGCCCCCGGACCCCCCTAGAGGAGGTTAGGTCCCCCCCACTTAAATCATGTTCAAATGGATAGGAAACTAAATACATTTGCACACATCTTGTGTCCATATCTTTCTGTTTTGGTGGTCATGCCGCACCGTGCACGTGAATGCATGCGCGAGTCATGGTGAGATATCTGGATTAAGAGGTTGCTTTTTCTTTGCACAGCATGAAAGAAAGGCCAAATGAATGGGCTGTGATTTTAGTATTTTTAAGCAGAGGTCAATCATTTGTACGGCCCTCGGAGGATGTTGAAAACATTTAAATGGCCCTTGAGAGGAAAAAGGTTCCCCACCCCTGGTTTAGGCACTGAAGGGAGTTGAAGTCACTTGAAGTTAAAGATATAAAACTGCTTTTCCTCCACAATGTAAAATAAACAAATAAAATAAGTTAAGAGAATTTAACCTGAGGGCCATCAAGGCTGCCGTCGCCTCTCTGCGGATGTCTGTGGAGCTGTCGGATAGTTTGTGGAGCAGGAGCGAGACACCGTCAGAGGCCAGAGCCGGCAGAGGGTCCAGACAGGAGCAGGAGCTGAGGGTGGAGAGGAGCAGCACCTGCACATCCTCTTCCTCCTCTCTGAGCTTCAGCATTAGTTTAGGAACCAGAGTCAGAAGAGCCTCTGCACCTGCAGGGATACAGGCTCAGCTCAGACACACTTTTGGGAGGAAGGAAGAAAGATGAACAGATATTTGATGACCCAAACTATTTGTCAAAACATACATAACTTTTAACAGCATTTCAATGTAGCAATGTATTTATTGCATCAACGTAGCACTGCTGATTCAGTGTATAATTATACAGTGAAGATGTTAGGTAATAATGTTCTGCTGGTAGATTGTTGTGTTGTTATTTTAGTTTGTGTGTTTTTATTTGACTGTAAAAGTTTGTTAAGTAACTGGCAGTTGTGATGACAGGCCATCTATCTTTGAGTGAATGGCAGGTCAAATAAGAGCTTCTTCTTCCTGCTACATTTCATCATGGGCTATTATTGTGGACAGCGTCCACACGGCGGCGTGCGTTGAAGCTTGCCGGCGGGCGTGTCTGAAACTCAACCAACAACCAATCACATGAATCTCCCGCCCCGGACACAAAAGCACGCGGTTTGATTGGCTAGAGCTTGTACTGGCATAT